ATAAGGAAGTAAAATACAACATCCGTCCGGAATACAATGGACAGGAAATAAATACAATGTACTGAAGAGGGCTATACTAGCTGCGGACCGCCTCGAATAGTGCAACTCACCCAGCCCCAAATCATCCGCGCTGCTACGCCCAGTGGGCTGCTAGAAACAAATATACTTGTGCAACAAAAATGCACAGAAGTGTAGTATGAGTACGTAAACAATGTGTACTCAATGAGTATCCCACCTAATCTCGAAAAAGTAGAGACGAGATGGTCAACTTTGACACTTACTAGCGGTCCAATGATAATATACTAAATATGTGAGGAAATCAGGGATTTTATATAACAATTCTAACTCGCAAAGCTGTAAACAAGCAATACACCTTCAACAAATAATAAAGGGTTTTCAAGGTTTACTTTTCTTTATTTAATCAATTTATCTCAAGCCATGAAAGGCAGCATCAACGTATAAAATTCTCAGGCAACGATATATAAATCATGCGCAAATCATGCCGAGGCGACGACCCGCTCCAACAGAAATGAAATGTGCACTTGCCGAGGGTCGACGACGCGCCTATAGATGCATCTATTTAATCTGTCGAGGCGTTCGGCCCGTTCCAAAATAAACACATAGAGACATTCAGTCAATAAGCCAACATGGGGCAATTATTCAAAGGAAAGCTAATTCTCTTTATTAATTTAGGAAAAATGAAGTTTAAACCCTTTTTAGAAATTCGTTTGTTGATTCGATGTAGTTTAAGCAGTTCAAGCTTTCAATAGGTTCGTAAATAATTCAAGTATAGCATGTTTTTGGGTCCTAACTACCCGGACAATAGCATAATAGTAGCTACGCACGGACTCTCGTCACCTCGTGCGTACGTAGCCCCCACAAATAGGAGCACATAATCAATTATTTCACCTATGGGGAAAATTCCCTCTCACAAGGTTAGAAAGGAGACTCACCTCGCTCTGAAGATCCATAACCGGCAATCCATGCCCTTCCGTGGACTTCAATTGATGCACCATGCTCCAAAACTAGTCAACAGTTACGCAAATCCATTAATTTATGCTCAAATGTTCATTACAAACTAATTTATAGAAATTCCTAACTCCGATCGAAAAGTTGACCAAAATGCCCTCGGGCCCACGTGCCCGGAATCCGAAATTTCTCGAAGATATACTCTACCCATAGCTTCACTAGCTCAAATATATAATTTACTCCTAATTCCATGCTCAAATTCGCGGTAAAATCCAATTTATCAAGTTTCTAGGTTTTCTTTCAAAAAGTCCTACTTTTCCCATAACTTTTATGTCTAATTCCATGATATAATCTTTTATTTAACTTGGAAATGAGTGGGAATAACTTACCTTAACATAGATGACGAAATCCCTCTTTGAAGCTCTCCAAAAATCGCCCCAAGCCATGAAAATTATGAGAGAAATAGCCAAATCCCGATTTTTAAAACACCCTCACTGCCTCAGCAATTTCCGCTTCTGCGGAAATATTTCCGCTTCTGCGGTCCCGCCTTTGCGGACAAAAAGCCGCTTCTGCGGACGCTGGGCTCCAGCCCAACTTCCGTTTCTGCGGACGGCCCACCGCTTCTGCGGTTCCGCTTTTGCGGATCTTGGGCTGCCTCATATCCAACCGCTTCTGCGGTTCCTCCGTCACTTCTGCGGGGCCGCTTCTGCGGTCCCAATTCCGCAGAAGCGGAAATACCAGAAGCAGCAGCCCCAGCCCTTCTTCAAACTCCAAATTCGATCCGTTAGTCACCCGGAATCCACCCGAGGCCCCGAGACCTCAACCAAACCTACCAACCAATCCCAAAGCACGCTACAGACTTGCTCGAGGCCTCAAATCATATCAAACAACGCTAAAACCATGAATTACACCCCGATTTAAGCTTTATGAACTTCAAAATTTCAAACTTCTACTTCTGATGTTTAAACTTATCAAATCACGTCCGGTTGACCTCAAATTTTGCACACAAGTCATATTTGACATTACAGACCTACTCCAACTTCCGGAACCGGATTCCGACCCCGATATCAAAAAGTCAACTTCCGGTCAAACTTCTCAAAACCTTCAAATTTCTACCTTTAGCCAAATGACTCCAAAATGACTTACGGACCTCCGAATTCACTTCCGATCGCGCTCCCAACTCCAGAATCACCATACGGAGCTATTCACAGACTCGAATCCCAAACGGACATCGATAACACCGAAATGCACTTCAAGCCAAACTTATGAAATTTCTTCTAAAATGCTAACTTCCACAATATGCGCCAAAATGCTCCCGGGTTATCCAAAATCCGATCCGGGCATACGCCAAGTCCGAAATCATCATACGAACCCGCTGGAACCTTCAAATCCCGATTCCGAGGTCGTTTACTCAAAATTCTAATCCTAGTTCGTTCTTTTAACTTTAAGCTTCCGAAATGAGAATTCTCTTTCCAAATCAACTCTGGACTTCCCGAAATTCAATTCCGACCACGCGCACAAGTCATAATACCTGAAATGAAGCTGCTCACGGCCTCAGGCTGCTGAACGGAGTGCTAGAGCTCAAAACGACCGGTCGGGTCGTTACAGATCGTGGATGGGTTATTTACGGATCAGGTCTGGGTTAGAGTTGGACTTTTAATTTTGACCAATAAGCAATTGTCACTTCATATATAATAAAATATTTTATTATTCAGCAAAGGTCCGTCAGAAATAAGGGCATGAATGTGTCAGATTTTTAACGACGAGGGTAATTTTTACAAAATAGGTGAACGAAGGGTATTTTCAAACTTAAGCAAATAGTTTAGAGGCAGTTTTGGTCCTTTTCCGAAGTTTATAATATTTAATCTAACATTTGAAGTTTCCTTAAATTTTTAAAGCTTATCATAATTACGTGCTAGTTGTTTATATAAAAATATTGACACATATCGTGCAATTTATTCGTTGTTGCATTACGAATAGTGAGTAGTGATATTTAGGGGTCATTTGGTAGGATGTATTAGAAAAAATAATATATATATATATATATATATATATATATATATATATATATATATATATATATATATATATATATTAACTTTAATATTATTTATCCCTTGTTTAGTGAGTAGTGTTTTTCGAACTATTTATAATTAATGTCTGTATTAGTTATACATCGTATTCTGTATTATTCTTATACATAACAAATCATGACATTAATAATAACATAATTTTTAAACATGAATAAGCATGTATAAAGACAGAACTGCCTTTCAAAACCTTTTCTAGATTCTTTCTAAAGAATATGGAGGATAATTTGTTATGCAATTCATGTTATTTTAAAAAATCAAACCAAACAGTCGATAAGAAATGATTTCAGCATAATTAATCTCAGCATTACTAATACACTCGATTCAGTATTATTTTTATACACCCTACTAAATGACCCTTTTGTAGGTGTTTGGATATAAAAAATATAATTTTCGAAAAATAGTATTTGGATTTAAGTTGAAAATGATATTCGGAATTTGAAATTATGTTTGGACATGTATTTTACTCGAAAAAATATTACAGCTTGTGTGTGGGGAACCAAAATATTTCTGAAATTTTTTGAAAAATTAATCTTGCAAACTTTCATGGCAAACACGTTTTTGAAAAAATTCAAAAAAAAGAAAAAAAAGAAAAATGTCTATGGACAAAAATGTCCTTTGTAGTCTTGGGATGTGCACATATACAAATAGATTTTGTTTACCAACATTTATATTAATGCATCTTCACTTCCGATAGGTTTTGAATCTAACTAGTTAACTTCTAGGCCAAAGTTTCATTGACATAAAAACAAAAAATGCATTATCGTGAATATACTAGAATCCATTTATCAATTCATACTAGTATTAAGTAAACCTTCTTTTTCTTAAATTACTCAATATGACAACATTATAACATTGTTTTTGCCTTATGTCACCACCATGCCAGCTAATGTAACAAATTATTAAAAGTGTTAAACTCCTAAATCTTACCGCCTATAGCGCGTGCAGCCATTAATGGCCACATTTGCAACGGATGTTCCCATGTAACATGATGCGCAAAGTTGAGTGAGAGTAACCTAGTGAGCATATTCAAACTCTAATACAGTACAGGATTTCAAACTTTATAAATTCGATTTAAATTTCTTTTACAACAATGGATTTGAAATTTATTAGTTATACTTATTAATTAATAATTAATTATTATAGGGTTAGTTATGCTGAAATTGTTATCCGAATATTATTTTTTATTGACTGTTTGGTATATTGTATTAAATATTATTAATCCTGAAATGGCCAATTTTACTGCTTTATCATGAGATTACTATTCCACCATCCGATAAGTATAAGTGACCCGTTACTATTTTTAATTCTGGCATAACTTATTCCAGGATTAATAACCAACCAAGGGAGCGTATCCATCATACCAAACGATCCCTAAAAAATTGTATGATATGGTGTATTAGTAATACTTGAATTAGTTATCCTGATATCCGTTATGCTTGAATTATTTCTTATTGACTGTTTGGTTTGGATGTTTGATGTATTAAAAATGGTATGACTGCATAACTTTTTAAAAATTCTTTATTTATAAAATTATCCTCTACACTCCTTACAAAGGATTAGGAAAAGATTTTGAAAGAACAGTAGTCTTTATACATGCTTATTCATGTAATTAAAAATTATAATATTTCTAATACGATGATTTGATTTATGTAATAATAATAATAATATCAAAGCTACTACAAATTTTATTTTCCCTAATACCTCCTAGCAAACGAGTCCTAAATCGACCCGTAGTCAAAAATGATGGTGGCTAGGGACACCAATGGTGTTAGGGACACCCCTTTTAAAAACAGAATTATTTAAATAGTGGAAATATGACAAGTTCTAATTCTAAAGATTCTGATCTTGTTTCAACTGTAGCACATGAAGTAACAAACAATAACATTACAATATTTAAATATAATATTAATAATATATGTATCTATTAGATACCCATTAGCCCCTTCCCCTTGCCCCCTTTTTAAACATCACCCCTCGTAGAAATTTTCTCTCTGTATATACGCACCTCAAATATTCATTCATATATATACAAGAGTGTGTGTGATCTTTTGGAGTTGATGTTATGCACACATAATTGGAGAGCTATAGTGAGTTCTGATGTTATTGGAATTTTGATAAGACATGAAGATTCTATTCATTTTGTTTCGAATGAATTAGGAATTAGAGTTTTTGATGTTTATAAGATTGAGGAATTAAAGCGGGAAAAATAAGGTTTCTTGAGGAATTAAGGTTTATTTACGTTTCTCTCTTCTACTGTTTTGTTTGGTTTGATTTAAGCATTTGTTGCATTAAATTGGGTTGGAAAGTTAATTTGATTTGCTGCTTCAAGTTTTAGCCTGATTTGGTTGGCTGTCCACTTAACTCCTTCAGCTCAAGATTGAGTCTTTATTGCCAGAAAAGTCAATAGTTTATTCTTTTCATATTGATTAAAAGTTTGAGAAATGAAGCAGTTTAAAGTGTTTGAATAAGTTGGTTTGTTTGACCTTTCATCCTTTTTTCTATAGGTCTTGAATCAAACTGTTTTCTTGCCTTTTCATGTGTATCTGATGATTAGATTTAAGTTGTATGCTAAGTGCAAGGATTTTTGAGAATTTAGCTGCTTTAAATTGCTTTTGGTTGTAAATCTCCTTTGATTGTTTCTGAGAATTTGATGCTATTCTCTGGTTTGCTGAGTTTGAATTCAGGGAAAGATCAACTCTTTTTAATTTGGCTTTAGTTGTTGGCTTTGCTTTTTGATGACTTCAAAACATGTACCTAATGTTGATCGTCCATGTTTTACATTCTTGCTCGGACAAAAATTTGATTATAGATGCTATTGGAGAATCTGTTTTCTTTTACAGCATATATCTCACAGGTTTAATGATTACCAGAGATCGCTTTTAAGATCAATTCTACGTTTACTCGGTCTTGTTTACCTCCCTATTGCCTGTGTGGATTTGTCCCTATATTTCCGGTGCTTCTTATTTCATGCCTCTGTCTTGTCTGTACGATAAAATTAGCATGTGGCGCTTGTCTAATTTCTTGACAATTAATAGCTGACTTGTTCCTTACTAATGTCAGTCAAAAGACAATGAATTCAACATATACTCAATTCGTTGCCTCTAAAAGGATGGGTATATGTGACCCAATCCATCAAATTGGCATGTGGGGAGATTTCAAAAGTAGCAGTTTCCCAGATACGTCGGCGACCTTGATTCTTGAAGTCGAGAATTGTCTAGAGAACGAGATGCCTATTATGGAGAAAAGACTACACAATGAGGTGCAAATCTTTTTCTTTTTCCTTTGGACTTTTACTTTTCACGTATTTATGCTAATTGTAACTAATATGTCTAGACAGAGGAACTTTCACATGGAACAGTTGGAACGTCTAACAGATATGAACCAGCAGCACGAAAACCTATTGATAAGGTAAAGACATTTCCATATTTTGTCTGCTTTTCTTCTTACCTATTTCTCAGTGGCTATTTGTTATTACATTATGCATGAAGTACTGATTTAAATGGTGGCGTCGATGGTTGGTCACCGTCATGTATTAAACCAAGCATTTGTGTCGTGAGTTGTAAAGTTTGATTGATTCATATCTTTAATATCTTAGTTCCTTTTTATTGAAAATGGAACTAAGGCCATTACATATAGATAGTAAAACTTTGTCAGCGCTGTGAATCTTTGGATTCCTGATAGCGGCGCATTCATGTATTTGAGGGGTCTTTGTCTTGTCACATATGATTTTTAGCTCTGAGCTTGGAGATATTTGGCTATTTTAAGAGCCTATATTTGCTGCTTTATAATTGACCAAAGGTATATCAACTGCTTAATTCCCTAGCTTCATATACAGGTGCTTAGACGTCTCGCACAAAACCGTGAAGCTGCTCGTAAAAGTCGTTTACGGAAGAAGGTATCACTTGAATTTTGCTAAGTGCCCGTTTGGACATAAAATTTGATGGAAGATTTTTCCAAAAAAATTTTACTTTTTTTCGAAATGAGTGTTTGTTCATAAATTTCCAATTTCACTTGAAGATGCATTTTGAAAATTTTCGAAAATTTGAAAAACTGCAAAAAGCTCAAAATTTTCACTCAAGTCACTCACAAAACTTCAAAAACAACCCAAACTAAAATTTATGTCCAAACACAACTCTAAATTTCAAATACCATTTTCACTTGAAAAAAACTTTCACCATTTTTTCGAATTTTACAATTCTTATGTCCAAACGCCTACTAATTCATTACCCAGAATTTCTCATCCACTTTTTTATGTCCTTTTAAAGAAGTCAAAATCTTATTTCTGTTTGAGACATAAATATTCCTAAATTCACATGTTGTTACTCAGGCCTATGTTCAGCAGTTGGAAAATAGTAAACTGAAGCTGCTTCAGTTGGAACAAGAACTAGAACGTACTAGACAACAGGTAAAGAGAAAATTTGCATCGACATATGAGATGTTGAATCTCTTCAGTTGATTGATATCAAAAGCTTTTTTTTCTTAAACTTTCTAGGATGACAGAAATATAACAAATTAGCAAACATTTTTTGCGACAGGGTCAGTATGCAGGTGGCAGTTTAGATGAAAGTCAGATAGGTTACACTGGAACTGCAAATTCAGGTGTGTAGATTGATGCTGTCTTGTTGTTGATTGCTTAAAGAAGTTCATGCGCAGAAGTATTTGCATGTGCTGTATGCCTGAGTATATGAATGACAAAAATTGTGCTTTGGAATGATATAATAGAGTTCGTCTGGAATCATTGCTCAGTGTATCTGAGTATCAATTATAGTAAGTAGATTGATATGTTTGAAGTGGATTTATTGATTTTGATTTCCTAAATTTTGTACATGGACTTGTTGATTTGATTTTGCAAAGTTCTGTTCAGCAAGGATTGTAGACGAGCGCTCTATTTTGTTGTTATTGTTAAATACAATTTGAAATAAGCTTTGGTTACTATTTGCTGCTATATATATTTTGTTACGTGGCATTAAAGAAGGTGCCACGTAACAATTTAATGCCCCTCAGATTGATACAAAAATTCCATTCTCACTCTTTTCTTTCTTTACCGGCCCTGCCATGAGCCTCCCCTATCTCCTAATAACAATATCCTTCTCTTCAATATTGTCAGTTGCTTTTTGTTTTATTATCTTAATTCTATTTCACAATAAAGCTTCGGATATGAAATGACTGAAGTGGTTCTTCTTCACTTCAAAACTTCGACAGGATAGGAATCAATTATTTTTCAGTTATTCCTTTGTTTGAGGTGCATCTGGAGTGTTATTGTATTGAAGGACCCCCAGGCCCCAATTACACCTCAAGTGATGTATCAATCAGAGGCGGATTCAGGATATGGGTGCATGTCACTGTACTTAATACAAACTGATCACTAATCGAGAAAATTGAATTAGGGTGCACTATATGTCGGTTCACTCAATTTTGAATTAATTTAATTCAGTTTCATTTTGAATTAACTCGGTTTGCTCTCTCTTCTAACTAGTTTGATCACAATTTATCAATTACTCGCATGAAGGTAATGTATTAGATGGCTATTTAAGATGCCATTAACTGGATAAAACTAATGGAAAGGATTATTCTATTGGATCTGTAAATGTGACTTCTGAACTATGGAAACTATCATATTAAGGAGTTTTCTTACCCAAAATATACATTCAACGAATTAAGAAATTATTTGCTTCACCCCTTGGAATTACAGCTTTTTTAAAGTACACTTCCTATTGATAAATATAAAAGTCTTTGGTATTTATCTGGGATTTCCTGTTGTAGAAACATTCAGTGCAACCATTCAAGTTGTCAACTTATTTCACTTTCTTTTCTTCTTTCTCTTTATTTATATTGTTATTTGAACTTTTTCCTAACTTGTCGAGTCCGCAGGAATTGCTGCTTTTGAAATGGAGTATGGCCATTGGGTGGAAGAGCAAGATAGACAGACAGATGAATTAAGGAGTGCTTTGAATTCTCAAGTTGGTGAAATTGAATTGCACCTTCTTGTCGAGGGTTGCTTGAACCACTATTTTGATCTATTTCGCATGAAAGCTACGGCAGCACATGCCGATGTTCTCTTCCTTATGACTGGCACGTGGAAGACATCAGCTGAGCGATTCTTCTTATGGATAGCGGGATTTCGCCCCTCCGAGCTTTTAAAGGTGATGATTGATCTAGTATAACTTGTCATTGCACCTCCTGTTCATTGAAAAATCCATTTGTTGATGATTCAGTTTTCCACATGCAAGTTAATCTGGGGTCTCAAACATGGCCACGAAATTTCCAATATTTTCACTTTACAATTCATTTAAAAATTTGTCCATCTATGCTGACCTACTCCTACATTTTTTCCTATTGTCATGCTTGCTCAAGGATTCCTTGCTAAATTAGCTCCCTTTTTATTTTTAGTTTTTGATAAGTCAAATCTTTCATTAATAAACAGAAGACAGTCTTAGAAGAATGTCGTTGTTTATGTGACTCAACCTGAATCTACAAGCATCTATCAAGTTTGCCATATACAACACTGCATTTTCTCCTTTCACGCAAATTCAAGACAAATAACAAAATCTTACTTTTTTGAAACAATCTTCTGTTTCTTTAATTCCATGGCCACCAAAAGAGGCATAACTGTGATATCTCCCGTGCTGTCCTCTTTTGACAGCCGATTTCCAGTTCGTGATTGCATCCTCCACAATCCTTGGTAACACCCATGATCTGTTGAACAATGAGAATGCAATAGTCCACACTCCACAGTCATGAAACCTACCTGCATACAACAAGATATGATTAGTATTTTCTTCAGATTCCTTATAGATGCAGCACAAACTCCCAAATATTATCATTTTCTTTCTCAGATACTCTGATGTTGGTATGGCATCCCTCGCTGCCCACCAAGAAAGAAGCAACTTCTAAAAATAAATTATTTTGGGGCCTTGGTGCTCCAACCTCTACCGCAAAACCTCCCTCTTATCAACTCTATCTGACAGCTCCATAAATAAGATTTAACCCTAAAAGTGAAAGTCGTTCTGGGAGGGTGTAGACGTGGAAGTCTCAGAATATCTTGCAGAATACGAAAAAGATTTGGTAATTTTAGAGGACTTGGCATGAACCACTATCTCATTGATGTTCGATACTTGGTCAATGTCTAATGCCTTTGAGAGTTGAAGCAAATCCAACAGCAGATGTCAAAATTTCTGTTTTTCCTTTGGCTGTTCTTTTAGAGGTCAATATATGATTGATGGTGTTTAATTCTGATGTCTTTTGTGAAAAAAAGTGCTTATGCATGACCCTATGGTACCTACAGGTTCTCACGCCAAATGTGGAGCCATTGACAGAACAACAACTCCGGGAGGTTTGCAACCTCACCCAATCCTGTCAACAGGCAGAAGACGCGTTGTCCCAAGGAATGGTAAAACTCCACCAGATTCTTGCTGAGGCTGTTGCAGCTGGTACACTAGGTGACGGTATTATCCTTCCACAGATGGCTGCTACCATTGAGAAGTTGGAAGCTCTAGTTAGATTTGTAAATCAGGTAATATGTCAATTTTTGGTTTCACTTCCTTTTTAATCAAACTTCTAAACTTACAGAATGATATTTGTAATTACCCGGGGAACACCCCATGTAGGTACGGATCCACAGTATAACCGGAAGATGCAAGTTGTAGAGCAAACAAAATGATTAGATAGGTTGATTTGTGCAAAATCCACGTAATCTTGGAATGATGTTTTTAGTTCAAGAAATTAGAAGTTGAGGTTTTTATGCTTTTGGCTAGGTAAAAGGAGAAAATTAGTAAGGTTAACCATTAATGTGTGAACCTTTGAAGTGCGTTGCAAGTTCAACTATTTGACATGCTTTTTCGCTGATGGTCATACTTGACTCATTCTACAGGCAGATCATCTTCGCCAAGAAACCCTTCTACAGATGTCCTGCATCCTGACTCCGCAACAATCAGCTCAGGGCCTCCTTGCCTTGGGAGAGTACTTTAAACGTCTTCGTGCTCTAAGCTCACTTTGGACCAGTCGTACTTCTGAATCAGCATAAAGAAGCAAGAAAAAACCATTATATGCCACTCAGTGCATAATTCAACTCTGCCAATGAAAGCTGTGCAAGCTAAAATCTGCATCTTGCTTATACCGGTAAAACTATGAATATGGATATGCAACATAATATCAGCTTGCGCCCGTTTGGACACTGCTTCGCCCCTGATTGAAATCTGTATATAAGTTCCGGTATGCTGTAGTTGGGACTTGAAATTCGCATTTCTATTTTTTTCTTTTCACATTGGTTTTGCTGATTGTAAATTAATATGGTCTTGAGAGGTTGTAGACTCGCTTGCCAGAGTCTCGGGATGAAACTTGCTCCAAGTTGCTGTTATGGTGCCTCTCTGTATTTAATTAGTATCTATTATGGGAGTGTGCAAGCAATTTTTGAAGCTTTGCAGATGAACAACTGCTATAAAAGAAAAAGGCAATGATGGCATGAGCAATATTATGTTGTTACTTAATGAATTGTGTTGTGGAAAATTTGCACATACATGTTTACTTGTGTAGATTTTCATTCAAAAAGATTGTTGGTACCAAGTTCAGCTATGGCATACTCCATAATATAGTTCACTGTTTAATCCGAGGCAACGTGCACCAACTCCAGATTTGCTTCTCCCCTTGTAATACTTGCCTTGTTTCCAGTTTGAAGGTAATTGATAGTTGTCGGCTTTCTCTACTTTCTGTTACCGTAATCACTTGTCATTTCGATTATTTCATCCATACACCTTTGTTTATAAGGTTGTCAAGGATAGATGCAGGAGTTTTAGATTCTTGTTCGATATTAACCTCTTTGCTAGTTGTTTCTGTCGAATTTTCTTCTTTTGATCATGTTGTTATAGCTTGTTTTTCTCTACACAAAGTTCATACTGCAGTCTGCTGTTTTTCTGCTCCAAGAGTCTATTTCTTGATTTCTAGACCTATTTCAGTATTTCATCACATTTCTCTTGCCATAATCTTGAAATCATGATTTTGTCTTTCTGCTTTTGAAGGAAAGCAGATATCTTTGAATATTTATACTGCAGAAAATTAGTATTATCTTCTTTTTCTGTTTCTTTCTTTTGCAATGCATGTAACATATTTTGTTCTTCTCCAAATACTGGTTTCATTTGTTAAATGTTTTACAAGGTAACCACATATTTTATTCGTTTGCAGAAATAGCATTCCTATCAGTATTAGGCAAAAAAGTTGTTTAGCAATCTGGTATACTGTAATAGAGAAATAATTAAATCTTGCAAAAGTTAAAAGTGTTTATAAATAAACATGTACAAACAACTCTTTTGGTCTTGGGAATTTGACCTTATGATCAAATACACCAAGTAAATATAACTTAAATCCTGCTGACCGTTTTGAACCAAATCATTCTGTAATCGCAAAACCTTCAATATTTGAACTTCTGAACTGTAATGGTTTGAGCTCTGATCCAACGTAAAGGTTGTATTTTTATTTATTTACATCCGAGTTAAGGGGTTTATTTAATTTTGGAATTCTTTAAGTTAGATAGGAAGTAGCCTGTTAAAGAGTGAATCTATAGCATAAGATTGTACTTTGTAAGACACCTTGACTAACAAAACATACTAAGTTGACAATTTGAGAGAGCCAGAATATTGTTCAAGTGTACATTCAACCATCGAAACTAATTATTTCAACTATAATTAAACTGAAATAGTCAACCACATTGTGCATCCATGCAAATTTTAATCCTCTGTTCCCTCCAAACTTCCCTCTCTATTTTGTAGAACAGTGTGAGGAATAAAATAGCAGGAATTTCTTGCTTTCTTTTACATAGTTATTGTACTGGAAAATAAGCTGTGTCCTTTGGTTGAAGGAGAATCAACTGAGCAATTCACAACAATCTGTTCTGGCTACTCTTGAGAGATTTTCACAACTTTGAAATTGAATAGTCCAATGCATCAACTAGGAAGTCTGCACAAAAAACAAGTTTAATTGCTCAAAACCATACATGTTCTGGCTACTCTTGAGAGATTTTCACAACTTCGAAATTGAATAGTCCAATGCATCAACTAGGAAGTCTGCACAAAAAACAAGTTTAATTGCTCAAAACCATACATTAAATTTCTCGCAAAAGGAACTTGTTTCCTTCTCTTTTCAAGGGCAATTTGGTTTTCATTATTAAAGCGGTTCAAAATTATTCAAATAAATTGAACAAAGATAATTTCAGTTAAGTTATAGTTTGCTACTGGTCTTGAAATTTGATTATGGTGAACTAGCAAATTTGGATTGTGTTAATAAAAGTGATTTTCAGATATACTGATCAAATCAGACGGAATAATTCAAGAAAAATTATGCGATACATTGAACCAGTGAGTAAAGAGGTTACCTGCATCATCCTTGCCAAAACACATGGGAGGCTTTATTCTGAAAACATTTCCATGTAAACCGCCTTTCCCTACAAGAACACCTAGTTCTACATCCAGAAGCAAGCGCATCGTTAGTATATATACAACGGTTTTCAATTCTCTTCAATTCATCAGCTGATTTTACAAACCTCTAAGCTTCTCAAAGAGAACTCCAGTTTCTGCCTTGGCAGGTGTCTTTTCTTTTCTGTCAGTTACGAGTTCGATCCCAACCATTAAACCCCTGCCTCTCACATCTCCAATTACTGCCAGCAACAACATCTGTTAGTGATGATATTAACCAGAAGATGCAAGTCACTAGGAGGAAAACTAAAGGATCATTAAAGCAGAAGACTCGGAAACAGAAAACTTGATCAGATCTTTGATGCCAGGATATCAACATTTGGTGCTATATAAACTGAATTTGATTGGGATGAAAAGCAATCCATTTTGGCTAATAAATGTCTGAGTTTTGAAAGCGCAAGAGACTTACTGTCGTGTCTTTTCTGTAGATCCCTCAGCCGCCCAATCAAGTGTGAGCCGACCTCAGCACAATGCTTTTGACGTTGTTCCTTATCAATAACTCTGAGTACTGCATGTCCACCAGCAGAGCAAACAGGGTTCCCCCCATATGTATTAAATTGTATCTTTTGAGCCATAACACTTGCAATTTCTGGAGTTGTAACAACAGCTCCAAGTGGCAAACCATTTCCAATACCCTGAAAAATCATAAAGTCTGGAATAACAAGCCATTCCACAGGATGCATAACAGCAAAAGACATGATATGTAACCAACAACTATGGTGCACTCTTGTGGAGACCAAAAGCTCTTCATATAGGGAGGTTCAGTCCAGTCTGTTCACCTCAACTTGCATCCAACTCGTGACTAAAGCAAGCGGCATGGTGACCTCATCTTAAAATAAGATATATCTGCACCTGAGCGCCTTGGCCAGAGAGAATATTGGGGATGAAAGTCTTAGGAGGCGGCAGGGTCTATGGAGCAAGTCTCCCATAACAGGAACAGGGCTGAGCAAAAAGATGAAAAGAAATAATTACAATACCTTTGCCATTGTAACTATATCAGGGATCACACCCTGTGTCTGGAAACCCCAGTAGTCGCTCCCTGTGCGACCAAAGCCTGTTTGAACTTCATCAGCAATACAAACACCTCCTGCTTTGCGAACAATGTCATAAACCAACTTCAAGTATCCAGGGGCTAGTTCAACTGCTCCTCCAACCCCCTAAAGCAAAAAACCAGAATTTTATCACGCTTGAAATGTTCATTCTTCTGGTCTAAGTCTCGAAGCAGCATTTTTCCACATTGAAGGGAGAAATAACAAATCCAAACCTGAATTGTCTCAGCAATAAAACCAGCAACCTTTCCTGAAGTACCATGATCAATGTGATCCTGTACCTCTTCAGCATATCGTTTAGCGTCAGATCCGAATACTCCACGATATGGGTTAGGATTCAGAACGTGATGGATTTCACCCTGTAAATCATCAAAGAAATTAAAGAGAAGCATGGGAAATGTCTAACTTCAGATGGCATGAACATCTTTCATTGAAGTGTTCACTGGATCACCTAATAAAATAAACAAAGGAAGATACACTTCTAATCCTTCATACTTTGGCGCATGGGTATACCTGTGGAATAGGGTACTTCCATGTGTTAAGAGCAGTTAGCCCAATTGTGTTAGCGCTTCCGCCATGATATGCATTCCTCAAGGCAATCATATTTAGGTTACCACTGTACAGTCGTGCCATCAGCATCGCTAATTCATTTGCTTCTGTCCCTGAATTTACGAAATATACTACCTGCAGTTCAAAACAAGCAAGTCAGACTGACAAATATTAGAAAGTTCCTTATAGGATACCGATTGAGCTCATGTTTCAGAAGATAAACCTCGCAGACACAAACCAATCCAAATTTATAGGCATACTCTGGTTTACATGATAAGGTATTACTCTTATACTGCAGCATTTGGATTGTTAAGGAGCTTCAGGTCATATCAGACTATTGGTCTTCACTGCCTCGGATTACCCAAACTCAAAATGGAAATCTAACAACTCAATGGATGGTGCTTTGAACTTACCTCTCTTTCCTTTTCTGGATTAAATTTGTGTTTATCTTGTACTAACATTTTTGGCTTAGGTCATAACAATAAACAAGAATTACATGCTGATATAGATATTGCATGTCTATGTTCTTTACAGAAGACAAGAAGTGAAAATATATTGACAACAAAGGTATTTTAGCAAACAATTTAGTCCATACTCCAACCTCTATCTTTAATCTCATGAACGCGTGATAGAAATCGATGTACCCATTACTATAGAGGAAGTTATTACAATCTGACTAATCGATGTACCCATTACTATAGAGGAAGTTATTGCAATCTGACTAAAACTTCTCCACGACCCTAAAACCTTAATAAAATTGCATAAGCTACAACAGAAAAAGATTAGTAGTTTCAAATGGTGAACAATCACAAGATTCTAGAATCTTATATCACATACTCCCTAAATCCAAACTTTCAAGGCATAGTTTGACAAGGATCAGAAATCATTGGGGGAAAGTTTGAATTAGATATCATATAGAAGTTATTTAAAGATACCATTCTGAATGATAAAAGGAACGCGCCAAAAAGAAAGTATAGGTGAAGGGAAGGATGTCAGCAAAGGCAATTTAAGATAAAAGAAAAACATGTCATGCTAACCTAAACTATTGGAAGGGTACAAATATCAAATCTTTCTGTCATGATTGAATGAAAAAATGGGAAAGGAAACATATCAGGGGCACCTTCCAAAAGTAGACTATCAGAACCCAAAATGGAACTTCGAAGTAGAGAAACTCAGTCTGTACTATTTATGCATATAACATAGTTGAAGAAAATGCACACCAAATAGACCATTAGGGTAGTGGTATTATTTTAACCTTTAGGTTTCCTGGCATCTTAGATGCCAATGCCTCCGCAAAATCGCCGATCGCATGATGTAGATATATGGTTGTAGCATGTTGGAGAAGCTTGCTTTGCTCCGTGATGGCATCCAACACCACAGGATGACAATGACCGCATGAAACAGTAACTATTCCAGCAAAAGCATCAAGATAACGTCTTCCATTCTCATCATACAAATATTGCATCTTCCCCTCAACAATATTTAGCTGTTTGAAGAAGTAAAAGAGTTATTAGAAAGAGACACAGCTTTAAGGAAAACAATAATAGAGCTCTCACATACCAACTTGGGCATTTACTTTATGCCTGTTTTCCTTCTTGTTGTTAAGGTTATCCATTCAATACGAGTAAGTACAATTAAGAACAAACCTTAAAACAATCAGAATCAGCCTAACTGCAGGGCATTAAATATCCATCAAAGAACTTGCAGAGAGTTGAAGAAGAAAACAAGGGCCTGTTCTTTCAAGGCTTCTTCTTGAAGGGACAAGGCCCCACTCGAGAAGTTAGCAATCGAAGGCCTCATTGGATTTCTCTAGTAGGTATTACAATGAATTGCAGCACATTAAACCTTCAGTAGAAGCTACAAACACACATTTGATTCTCAGTTGTTAAGTGTGCCACATTTGACCATATGGGATCAACACTAACTTATGAGTACAATTCAAGACTCGAGACAACTTCATATCATATTTACAAAACCAGCTCGTCATAAATATGATGCTGCATTTCTTTCACATGTAGCAACTGAATCAAGTAATCCAAACGCAAGGGCGAAAAAATTTGTCACCTCCACTTAACAAGACAAGACACTCTGAATTGGCAAATAAATCTTATATTACTCATTCACTGAAGAATCAAACCTTGACTCATTCAGTAGTAAATGTCAAAATGGTAAACAACACTCGAGCAAATACACATTCCAGAATATTCAAAATCAAATCTTGATGATCAGACTTATGCACAGAGAAACACAATCCCTCTTCCTTTTTTTATTTTATTTTTTATTTACCTCCTACAGTAAATCATACATTTCAATTTGTAAATTCATATGCTTTAAAATCCACTAATTATCTCAAAACCAAGAAAATGTAAAACTAATGTGTAATTAGTTAAAAAAAAGAAGAGATATTTACAGGTTTTTGGTAGTAGTAGAAGAGGGAAGGACCCAAAAACTTCTTTCTTTTCTCCAAAACCTCATCAGCCAAAGGCCCTTTATACGGCTTTGGCTGGTAGTCAAACGGCGGCAGTTCGGGCGGCGCCACCACCGGTTGACCGGAAAAGTATCTCAAGCACCTATATTTGGCAATTCCTTTTAGTAATTTCCTCTGTAACGCCATTCTTGATTGATCACAGTATAACAGTAAAAATAGTAATCCAACCTAAAACATAGACAAAGATATATAGGGACAGACAGACACACATGAATCGATTAGTGCTGACATGGAAAATTGTTGGATTGTAGTAGTAGGTGAAGGAATACTAGTATTAAAGATTATCTGAGGTTTAACTCAACGGACCCCAAAAAGATTCCCATATTTCTTTTTAATGGATTAGAAAATTGTTTGGTTTCCATTTTTGTTTTATTTTTAAGGTAGTGGATTCCAAGCCAGTTTGTGAATCTCCATTACTCCTTGCGGTCCACAATAAGTAATCTTTATTCCTCACACTCACCATGCTGCAATATTTAATTAAGGTATTTTAGTCATACTAATTATTTTTATCTAAAATTTAGTATTTTATTAATGGGTGTGCCCAGGGCAAATTGATCACTTATTGTGGACCGGATGGAGTAAATATTAGGTAACTTTGTTCGTCAAAAATCAAATAAATGAGAAGAAATCAACTGATACTTTAATTTTCATTTGAAATACTTTAATGTTAATCAAAAGAATTAAAGGTAAAACGTTTTTCTTGGAAGAGAAGATGCTGAACTCTGCATGAACGTGATATGTGCACTTTATAGGCAGCAGATTTCTCCAAACTTCTCTTCCTTAGAGAAGCGTTTTACCTTTAATTCTTTTGATTAGCATTTCCATACTTTTGTCACTCAAATCATTGTCTGAATCCGAAGAAATATCACCAATCCCATTAAGCTTGTACGGATCAGACTTGGAAAAAAATTGAGAATAAAACTTCCTTTCGTCTTTGTCATCACAGAGTCTTATATCCTAAAGGCTCAATTCATATCCTAAAAGTTCAATTCATACACAAAAATTTCAATTCATATCCTAAAGGTTCAATTCATATCCTAAAATTTCAATTCATAAATTAAAAGTTCAATTCATATCCTAAAATTTTGATTTATAAACTAAAATTCCAATACATAAACTAAAAGTCGAATTCATATCCTAAAAGTCCAATTCATATCCTAAAAGCTCAATTCATATCCTAAAAGTTCAATTCATACACAAAAATTTCAATTCATATCCTAAAGGTTCAATTCATATCCTAAAATTTCAATTCATATCCACAAAAGTTCAATTCATATCCTAAAATTTCAATTTATCAACTAAAATTTCAATACATGAACTAAAAGTCCAATTCATATCCTAAAGGTTCAATTCATATCCTAAAGGCTCAATTCATATCCTAAAATTTCAATTCATACACAAAAATTTTAATTCATATCCTAAAATTTCAATTTATATCCACAAAATTTCAATTCATATCAAAAATTCCAATTTATAAACTAAAATTACAATACATAAACTAAAATTACAATACATAAACTAAAAGTCCAATTCATATCCTTAAATTTCAATTCATAAACTAAAATTCCAATTCATATCCAAAAATTTCAATTCATATCCTAAACCCTAAATTCTAACTAAACTATCAAGACAATACAAAGTATAATTCAAATCTAACTAAACTAAATTCAACACTAATTAAACTACTTCGTTNAAAGTTGAGATAAAACTTCCTTTCGTCTTTGTCATCACAGAGTCTTATGATCCCCATTTTATGGGAACTGCCATGAGCAACAAACAACTTTCCATTACCATCAACCTTGTCACTCTCAATTAAACTTCTTTTCCTCTTGGAAAATGAAGTAGAGAATTCCTCTATAACCTCTTCTTTTATCTGCTTAGGAAATGTTAAATTCCTACCTACACCATCACTGTTTGAAACACATGCCATTGCCTTCTCATCATCATTGTCGCTAATGAGAACAACAATTAAAGACCCACTCTGCCAGGTACTGTATCCAAGTTATTCTTGGTGGAAGTTCCATTGAATGTCTAATAAAGTCATCAACCCCTTCTACAAAATCCTCCCGCAATCCCCGCCGATTGTGATCACGTGATTTTTGCCTCGCTTGAATTATTCCTATAGAATACATAAAATTAGGAATTTTTTCGTTAATTATTTGATTTTTAGGATTTGATTGCATAATTTTGTGTTTGTTTGCATTTTTATGTGCATTCTTAGTTTGATATAATTCATAAAAATACAAAAAAAAAATAGTGTATTTGCATTTAGCACCCCATTTAAGTATTTTTAGTTTTATTAGTTAATTAACATTACAAAAATGGAAGAAAATAACAAAAATAGTCCTTTTGTATTTTTACTTTTAATTTTGATCTTTTCCTTAGTATTCTTTTAAAATTAGGATTTAGTTGATTTTGAAAATTAATTAGTTTAATTTTAGAATTAAATCAGATATGTTAATTGTTTTTAATTTTGTATTTTTTACAAGTAATTTGAAAAAATGAAGAAAAATAGAAAAGAAAAATCAAAAAGAAATTTGAGTATGTTAATAAAATAGCCCACTTTTGGGCCAACCCACTCATAAAATCCAAAGCCCAAACGAACCAAACCGTCCAATCTGAGTCCAAGCCCAAATCTCATCCGGTCCAGACCCCTCCCCTATAAACGACGTCGTTTCGCCTCCAATTAATCTCAGCCGTCTAGGATTGTTGATCCAACGGACGAGAAGTCCACAACTATTAATATATAAATGTCTGAAACATAGCCACCCCCCCCCCCAGAACCCCTGNCACTCAAAAAATACACCCCTTACTCCTCTCTTCCTCCTCTTTCCAACCCCCAAAACCACTTCCCCCAAATCCTAGCCAAACGCTTCGAATTTTAGATCGAAATTTTCCGGCCAACACACAAACTCATCCAATAACTTCCAAATTAACACCATACAACCTCCTCACCCTCCTCATCCTTAATCCCAAACCAAAGCTTTCCAAATTTCAAAGAAATTTCTCCAATTTTAGATCTAGGGTTTCGAAAAGTGGACTGTCTAAATTTTCAAGAATTCGAAGGATTTTTTAATTAATGTTATATGTTTTATGAACATGCAACATTAATTAAAAAATCAACTTCGATAAATCATTCAAGAAGAAGGAAAAACAGTAAGTTCTTTTCAAAATTATTTCTATCCCTTTTAGTTTTAATTTGTTCTTACTGTCTTAGTTTAATTCTCGTTTTATTGAAATTAGTTGTGATTTAGTTCATAATTCTGTTCTCTTTTAGTTTTAATCTTTTTGTTTAATTCGTGTTTACCAGTTCATGACTTCAATTCGTGATTTTAGTTTATGATTTCAGTGTTTGTTTATTAGTTATTAGTTCGTTTTTTGTTGATTGTTGGTTACTTTAGTCTAATGTTAGTGTTAACTAAATCATCTAGGCTAGTTAGCATTAATTAGAGTTTAATTTTAGTTTTGCTGGTTGGTTATAGCTGATTTAGGTTCACTAGGATTAACTATAGTTAACTTTTAACTCAAGTAAAGGGTTTGTTTGAGTTAGTAATTTTGGGATTGATCAAGGGTAATTTAGGCATAGAAAAGGGTAGTTCTATTAGGAATAGTAATTTTTAAAGTAGGGAAGGGATAGTATAGGAATTGTAATGGGTATAGGACTTTCTAGAATAGACTTTAGTATAGTTTTCAATAAAATAGGTGTTGTTACTTGGGTAACAAGTTTAAAAATAAGGGACTAAAAGCTGAAAATGAGAAGGACTAAAAAGAAAACTAAAAATCTGAAGGAAGCCTTAGGCTTTGCCTATAAAAGGCACACCCATTGCCTTGTTTAACAAGTTTTGGAAGATCTGAAAATTCCCCAAAAAAAAAATATGTTCTGCAAGTTTGTACAAATTTGAAATTTGAATTCCAAAATTCCAAAACCAAATCTGAAATCTAGAATTAGAAAGCTCCTTTTAGATCAACAAAAGAAAATACAGCAGAAAAACTCAAAAAATACTGCTACATTGAAGCTCCTATTTAGATTGATTTAAAGTTCAGCTGTTATTTTGAGTTCCTAGTTGTTCCTAGTTTCATTTCTCCAGCTCTTTTGGTTTTATTCCAGTGATTTTGATCAGTTCATTGACTGATTTGGTGTCAAATATTTCCTGGGTTAATTTCAAGCTCAAATGGGACTTCAGTCAAGTTATTTTAATCATCCGTTGGTTTGTTATCATTTGTAATCTGGTCCTGGGTGTCTTGACATTATTTTGGGTTGAAATTGATTTGTTGCTGCTGGCTTACGTCTGCTGCTTTGCTATTTGCTACTGATTCTCCTTCTTCTTTCATATTTGCCATAATTCCAGGTATTAACTCCTATCCTATTGTATTGGTGCTGATTCGAAGTGCATATGCAATAAGACTGCTCCTTCATTTGCCTCTGAAGACCGTGCCTGTTTGGACTGTGATGATAGACTTACTCATTAGTGTAGGTTTAAATTCTGATGATATGTACATAAATTTGAATTGTGTGATTAGGACTGTTGAGATTATTAAATTGAAGTATTCATTCAGTGGTGTTGTAGGTTAGTTTAGTATCATGTTCAATTAGATTTCGTTTTGTTACTGAGATTGGAATTGTTCTGGACGGCTTTAGCCTGTTATAGACTGTTTTGAATTTCAGAACGTATCTAGTGATGATAGGCTCAATTTGTTTAAGAATGATTGTTAAGTTCCATTTGTTCAATAAGGTCAGTAGGTTCAATGGTAAATTATTCAATAAACTGTTAATTCAGGTCAAAGAACTAAAATCAGAAATTTCCGGTAATACTTGTTTTGCGTTAAAATCAGAATTCAGTCCAGTAGTGAAAAGATTGGCCCATTATTTGTTGAATTGGTATCCTTTAATTATAATTTGAGTTCTTGTGGGTGAGACGCACGCTGAGGCCCAAAATTGTTATAAGCCCAAAAATCCTTTAAACTATATTAGGAATATGGGGATTAATTTGCAAAAATAAATTTAGGTTTTCGAGTTAAGTAGCGGGTTCAAATTAAGAGGGTCCTCCCTTTTGTTTGAATTCGGACTTGAACTTGAGGCCCGAATTTATAAATGCGAATTAATTAGGGCCCTTTTAGAGACAACACTGTAATAGAAAATCATAGTTTCTTTTAGGATGGCCTTTAAATAAAACATGAGACGAGCCTCGCCGCATAGAACATATAAATTGCGGGGCCCTCATTAAATACTATGTTAAAATATTTTAGAAATCGGGTAAGCCATTTAGCAAAACTCGGGTGTGCATTTCATGCAACCCAAATCC